CTGTTTTAAATAGCAGAGGAAGACCTTAATCGTGGCTTGTTTGGTGGTGGATTCAAATTTTTTATTGGTGAGGTTAAAATAAAATTTGGATGGTCTAGTTCTGAATTAAAACGAAAACAAATACAAAATATTTCACGTTTTGATTGTATAAATGGTCAAAATTGCCCTAACTAGTATACAGAAAATACCGCGATCTGCGTTGAAACTTATTCGCGTACATTAACGGTGCCTTTATGCTTTGGTCCTGCTTCTATAACGATAAATAAGCACATCTCGAAGGAAAACAGAAAACAGTTTTACTATGAAAAAAATTGGAATAAATATTATAGAAAAGAATAGCATTCGCAGAGCACCTGGTCAGATTTAGATGAATGAGCGATAGACATCAAAGGTGTTTGATTTTCAATTATTTAGTTGGTGCGTGGGTGTAATCCTAACCTGTTTCAATCTTCTTATACGTGAGAAAAACCGCGACCATTCACACTAGGTAAATATAGATCTATGAAGTTCTCCAAATCTGTTAATCTGCACGCATCTTTTGAGACGTTTCAATGTGACTCACTTTATTTACGGCCTTACTTCAAAGAAATACGTTTGTTTCTCACACTGGCATACTTAAACAGCTTAATAGGTTGGAACATACTAAAACTTCAAGTTATTTATTTATACTAACGTCTCCACAATCAAATTAAGCAAAAATTGTAAATACACAAGATTTGTTGATGACATACGTATTCACATATGAATTAGGAATACCTGCCTTCCATACTCATTTTGACTCCTGCAATGATCATGTGTCTTTTACGAGACGACACGCGTTTGGAGTATGGATGGTTCAATTATCCTTTTCAAAAATTAAATCACTTTAACTCAAAATGATTTGTATTATGAAATTTACTGTAAGTGTGGCAGTTTGGTATAGATCAAAGCAAAAGTATCGCTAAGTGTAAAAATGGCCACTATGCACGCCTACGTTTAAAAACTTTACAAATAAACTCAGATGAACTGAATGAAAGAAAAATTATTGTAGAAATTCAAAATTTTACTTAGTAACATCGTTCTCCTGTCATCTTATCAATTTTGTCGGCGTAAAGCTTTGGGAGTTTATTTTACATGCGTCTATTTTTAAACGGCTTTAAATAGTGAGAACAAATGGTTTATGAATTGAATTTTACAATTTTCTTATGTAACGTACTTGTAGACAGGACCAACGTATTCACGTATTCAATAACCGGACGTACCGTTTTTAAACGGCATCACCTTGAAACTCAAGAATGAAGTTAAATTGAAAATGAAGGCCGCATGTCATGTCATAAGGAAAGATGTTACATATTTCGATGTTTACCCACCTAAGTAGCTAGTGCGTTCCAGGTGGAACATATCAATATTGTTTTTACACTTGCAGCAGAAGGTCGGGAAATTAGAGAAGTGTCATATCATATGGTTTTGTAATTAGATACAGTGCCAAGGCGCGAGCCTGGCGACACCTATGTGTCAGGTCTCGGATTATGTTTACTGGTGTGCGAGTGGAGAAGGAAGCAATTTTGAACGATCCAAATAGTCGCATGTATTGTGCGCTAGTACTCGTATTATGTGGTTTTTATTACTGCTATAAGAGTTCCTCCTCGTCGTTGCCAGTTTTATTATCAAATTTGACATCCCAATCTGAACTTTTCGGGAATTGATAAACAATCTCCAAGTCCTCATCATTCAGTTGTTTACACATTATCAGTCTTGCAGACATGCCGAGGTGTAGATAACAACAGTTGTTGCGTCGGAAAATTCCAATTTAGACTAGGTGTTGATTGGATTAATGAGTATTGAAGTTTCAATGCGCTTAATTGGGCAACCATGCTTAATAAATGGCATTTTAATGAGTTGTAGAAAAACCGACAGGCGGCGTCCAGAGTTTTATCAAATACAGGGCGCTTCAAAGACGAGAAGTCCAATGTCCATCTTAATATTTTTCCGATGACTACAGGCCAAGTAATTAAGTAAAAACCAAATTAATTTCCACCACATTAGTACTGAATACAGCGAAGAGCGGGAAATTGCCTATTCCACTTCCCTCACCACAGAGGCCAGCGAGACCGACCTGCCCGTCCATAGCTACCGCCGATCTCCACCAAGCATGGAATCTTCGCAAATACCAAAACAAGTAATCTAGGAGCAAGATGGAAGACTGGAATTCCTAGAGAAATAACATAGTTGTCAAAGGGATAGTAGATGAAGAAAATGAAGATGAAAGCAAAGATTCAAGATCTACTGGGAAAAATAGAAACGGGAATTAACCCAGATAAGGGTCTAGAAATCAGAGAACTGAGGATATTTCCAACCTGGCAGGAAAAGACCGATTTTAGTAAAACTATTTGCATGGAATAGCAAAACAGAGATAGACAAGCAGGCAAAAAATGCTCAGATATCTGGATTAATGATGGCTACACGAAGAAGGTTCTAGAAGACAGAAAACCCACTTTAAAAAAACGAGGAAGGAAGGCTGCAATGCCTCTCATGAGGTAAGATTTCTTGGTTTTGACGAAAATTAAAGTTAAAATCATCAAAGAAAAAAATAATAGAATTGCAAAAAGGAAATGGGATATCGAAAAATTAAAAGATGAAGAAATTGTCGAGAAACTCGAAAAGTCCCACAGGAAACGCCACACAAAATATAGAAGAGGAATGGCTGAACATACAAAACATACACTAAACATAGTTTTAGGCAAAAAGTGAGTAAAAAGAAACGAGTGGTTCGTTGAGGAATGAAGGGAGCAAATAAACTTGAAAAACCCGGCAAGAATCAAATGGATCAGTACAGGAGGTGAACAAAAACTAATCGAATACAAAGAAAAATGGCCACAATAATGTGCAATAGTAAAAAGCAGCAATGGATAAAAAATTATCAAAGTCCTCGTGTGAGATCGAAGAGACTTCAGCGCATTTTTGTGTGGCAGATCAGTATTCTATTAGCCACTTTTGACTCAACCATGAATAAAAGATCTTGTCGAATGATACCACATTCCCTTTGACGGTACCCACTTCCGATGTCCCGTTCACCCGCAATTCGCGTTTGAAGATTTAAGTCCACCATCAGTAAGATCGTGTCGGGGGCTACCACATTCTCTTTGACGGTACCCACTTCCGACGTCCCGTTCACCCGCAATTCGCGTTTGAAGATTTGATTCCACCATCAGTAAGATCATGTCGGGGGCTACCACATTTCCTTTTTCGGTGCATACTTATATTACACCCACATTTTGGTGGATCTCGCTAAAAACCTTCCACAAGATAGTACTTAATTTTTGGGGGGCACTTCTCATTGCTCGAGCTTCTATTGGCGACACGAGAAAGAGAGACAGCCATTCGAGATTTACGAAACGTTAAAACGCGTGACAGAATTCGCAACGGAAGGTAAAAGGTGCCCGAAGTTGACTACCTCTCGAAGACGCGCGCGCGCGCCATGCAAAAGGTCGTTAATTTCGCCCCTAGGCCAAAAAACAAAATTCCGCCACGCAGGAGTTGTGCGCGTTTACAACATCTTTCCGACGACACCAATTTGAAAAGAATCGGACCAAAACTGTAGTAAAAGATAGGAAAAAACTGAAAAACCTTCACGTTAGTATACTACGCTCGAGGACGACGCCCAGATGTCGCCAACCCCACATCATGTAGCCCTGTCCCCAAGGTTTACAAATTACACGGCCTTGTAGATACACGTACACGTACGGTACGGTTGCCTTTCTACAAGAGTTCTTCTACACGCCCACATTTGCTGCCAGCCAGCCGACCAGCCAGCCAGCCAGCCAGCCAAAGTGAGATTAAAAGCTACTTTTTACAAATAAATTTGCAAAAATGCACTAAAAACTAAATGGACGAAATAGAAGCAAATAGCAAAGATAACTGTAAATTATTCAACTATATTAAAATCTGAACACCAGGAAAAAAACGTACGCCAAGAGGTAGACCAAAGGCAAGATGGGAGGATCAGGTGATGAGCGAGTTACGTACCATGGGGATCCAAGACCGGAGAGCAGATATCAATGATACGAAGCAATGGAGCAAGATTGTACAGATGGTAAAGACAGAGCAAAAACATGGAATTTTTAGAAGACGCCGGATAATGTGGACTGATCCAACACACCAAACGAATCCATAGAGCTCCGCAGAAGGAACGGTTCCAATTCCCAAAGGAATCTACAGCCATAAGAAATTGGAAATTAATTATAGTAGATTGGGTTATACTCTATGGTAAAAGCCGGAATCACCGGAAACAAATTTTGGTACAATGATCTGTTTGAATTCAGAGACACGTTTAATTTTTGAGCTGCCCATTTTAAAATTTGAAAACCGGTGTATGTATACAGAGGATGGACATTGCACGGACATTCAGGCGTTCCTATCCTCAAGCTTTTACTACTCAATAAGATTAAGTGTTTCATTTTCGTCCTTATTATTGTTGGAAATGCAAATTCGCATAGACACGTGCAACTTACTTCATTACATTAATGGGAAACTAACCCATGATCGCTAAACCATTAACCATCGATTTTTGTCATTCACCCGTTCAAATAGGGAAGGTTATGAAAACATTCAGATATAAAAATACATAACGACCTTCGAGGTTGTATATTTTGGATGACGTTTTCTGCAAGATTAATCGTATACGACAATGTTTCATGGATCTAATAAATTTATGGTACAAAATGAGCCCTTAATTTCCAGATGTTTCAAAATATCGCGTAAGAGAATAGAAACAACTTATTCTCAATGTCGCTGCGAAATATCGCGGCAATAACTTTTTGTTTCATCGTGTAGGTAATTAAATTGAAAACGAGTATATTACGATTCAAGTTTCGGTTAAGTTATAATTAATTAATCGGTCGATTTCAATATTGAAAACTAATTTGGCCGGCTTGTCAGAATATTATTTTGGTAGGAGTTTAAAATCGTCGAGAGCGTGCGCTTTAAAATTAACATCTCTTGGGAAAAGTGGGATTTGAAATGATCTCGCGCGCCTTTCAAATCATTTACAGATGTAACTTCTTGGTCTCGGAAGTGAGACACGCGAGTCAATTTTATTCAAGAAAGTGTTACCGGTCGTACCGTGAAAGCCATCGAGATGATTGAAATGGAAGATCCGAACCTAATGTGCCGACAGGAAAGTACGGATAGTTTAGATTCTAATTCTGTACATGAGGAATATTCGTCCGAAGAAGACAAGGAGGACGACGAAGACGACGAGTTGGATATCAACGATTTTCAGCTCGTCAAAACTGTCGGTGAGTTCATTTAAATTTTTTCTTTTAAATTTTATCGTACTGCCAAATGATGGATTTAATTTGTTTATTTTTCATCGCGTTCTGTTAGTTTTAATTCACGAGTGAATGTATTAGACTGGTTGTAATGATTTGATGATTGATACAAATTTCGATCAACACGATTAAAAGTTATTAATTGACGGTTTTTTTGTTTATTAACGAGCTAAAACTTCCGCTAATTTGATCAAAAACAGATCTACCTTCATAAATGTATTACTGAAGCTGCGCCAAATTAATTAAAGCTAGCGTTTTTTCGGAAACTTATTTTAATCTGATCTACTTTTTGTTTTAAGATAAATAACGTGTCTCAAACGCTGTTAATCTTTAAAGTATGCTCCGGACTACTTCAACATCATCAATTTTTTGTGTTTGAGTACACTGAACAAGTTGCCACGTTTTTGGGAGATACTATTACAATAGTAGCCTTGTCTTGTCTTCAGCAAGTACCATGTCCACTGGTGATTAATGAACACCAGATACTCTGTAATAAACTTGTCTAGGACTCAACATAAGCAGTTTCACAGGGACTTTGCGGGCAAATTATTCAACAATAATAATGTATACCTACACGAAGGTTCAAAGCTCTCATACACTCATCTTCCCAATGAGTTTTACGGACATGTTGAAAACCACCCGTGATTTGGGAACAAACAAGTCCAAACTTGATGAATAGTTATCTTTTACAGTCAGTATTAGGTGTTTCACGGTTCGGTACAATAAAGGCGAATTGCCAACTACGATCATTCTTTTGGAAAGCTGTGTGGAATAATTCCAAAATGTGATGCCGCCACCGTGTGACGCACGGCACGTCACGAATTAAATTTCTAAAAAATATCAAATTTTTATCCAATCAAATAAGCGCCATTAACACAAAAAGGGTGCTATGTAGATAGATCTAGGTACATCTAATCATCTTTAAATTGCTTTGAATCATCTTTGTACCCTTTTACACAAATTCAAATTAATCTTTACCTTCGAGAAAAAGCGTATGGCTCAAATTAAATCAGCTAAACACATCCTTGTTGCAATCTCCATAAGCAAAAAATTACCACGTGGCCCCAAGACCACATAAATTGATGGATTAAGATTGATCCAATCCCGCAAGAGGTATCAAGACATTCCCCAATATACTTTCTGCAAGCCAAACCAAACAGATGTCCCGATTTTTAACCAATTTCCATCACGCAACAACGTAGGTGACAAGCAAATTACCAAATCGCCATTTTCCTTTTACTGAAAGCTCTCAAATGGCACAAAGCGTGTGCGAAAACTAAGGAAGATAAACATGACTAAAATCCCTACACTTTAAAATCACAACTATCCGCTACAGAAAACAAACAAAAACGCAGCCCTTGAGATAATAGAAGGAAACAGGCGAATGAAACGCTAGTAACGAATAAAATGCACGCTAACGAAAAAATGAATGACAAGATGAAATTAAAGCTGGCAAAAAGAGCGGAGGAAACAAAAAGATTGAGTAAACGACAAAAATGTAGAAAAAGGAGAAAACGCGGCAGGCTAACGAAAAGATAAATACAAAGAAAAAGCAGTACGTGAGAGAAACGAAGGAATAACAAAAATTATGGGTGTAGGGATACCGAGGAATGATCACATGAAGGAAACGAGGCAACGAAAAAAACGAAGCGAGGAAAAACTAGGAAACGCAAAAACGCACCTAGTTAAAGAAAACAAGAAAAACCAGCCTAACGATAGAAACGTACAAAAGAAACGAAAAAAAAGCGAAGGACCTGCAACTGAAATAAGAAAGAATAGCCAGAAAAACAAACAAACGGGTAAAGATGAACCGAAGGGATTGAAGGAAATAGGAGGTGAAGGGCTGAGGGCACGGAGGAAGCACACGAAGAGAAGAAAGGATGAAAACAAGGAGTGCAAAGGAAACGAAGAACTAAACAGCGAACGCGGAAATCAAAAGAAAAGAGAAAACAAATGTAACGTTCACTTTGAGCAAACGTAACAAAATTATCACGAGATAAGCGCACGGCAAGCTCGAGCAAAATACAGGTGGGTCATGGCGAATAATGGGGTTCTCGTACACTAGCCAAAACGAAACGAAAGGAAGTATAGTTAACCGGATAGGCGCCACTTAGTCTTTAGTAAATTTCAAAAGATAAAAGAGAATACTTATACCGAATGGGAGAACAAGGTTGACTAAGAGATCTTTGTTTTGGTCTTGATAAGCTAAAATAAAATACATAAACAATAAATTGTGGGCATAATTGAGGGTGATCTAATAAATGATCTCAAAATATTACAAATAGCGCACTGTAATATCTATATCTGACATGTTAACGTTTAAATTTAACTTAATTTTTAGCAGAAAAAGGGGCATCAACTCGTAGTCGTAGTATGAACATAGTCAATATCAAAACAGAAATCAATGGAGCTGTAATTGTTAAATGACTATCAAACAAATGCAATAATTACAATTAGGTATAGAAAACCAAAATGTAATCAAACGCTATATAAAGGAGTCGTAGCAAATAAAAAGAACCTTTCAAACTCCGGTCATAACAGCCTTTTGAGCTCAAAAGCGTGCTTTTCTGCCTTATCTGTGACAGATAACTACACAAACAATCAAACAAGAGGGATAGTGAATAGCGCGGCATATAAATAAGCAAAACGAATCATCAAGCGAGGAAACAAAAAAGTGCAATGAAAATGGAGAAAATGAAAAAAGTAAAGAAAACGCATGAGCTTAGCGTATAAAAACAAGCAAAAGTAAAGTGAATTTTAGGAAACTGAAAAAACGAAAAAGACGAAGAAATAGAATCAGACAAAAGAAGTGAATTGGAAAAATGGAAACTAAGCAAAGCAGACGACGGGAACGGTGAATACGAAGAAAAAGAAATAGACGAGACACGAGAGTGAAGGAAATCAAGGTAGGAAAACAAATGAAGAAGATGGGGGAACTAAGGGGTACACACGTAACAGAGAAACCAATGAAAACGAGGAACCCACGGGAAATGAAAGAAAGAAATGAAGAAAAGAAAGTGGAAGAAAGAAATAGGAATTGGGGAAACGAAAAAACGAGAAGCACATGAAGGAAACAAAAATGGTGATTTAGAAGAAGAAGTAAACGTAGCAAGGAAGCAAATGAAGTGGTCCAAGGAATCGAAAGTAATTAAAAGGAGGGAACGACAGAAACGACCACTATGTATACAAAGCGAGAGCGAAGTTGGTGAAGGGGAAAGCAAAAAGGAAAATCAAAGCGATTACTAGAGTGAAAACGAAGAATACCTATCGCGCATATTTCTTGGAAAATGAAAAATTTGTCCGATTTTATTTGTAATAAGAAAGGCTATTCAATACAGTGTGTACTCTTTTTACGCACCATGATGATGATTCCTCTGAAACGAAACTCTGTATTGAAAATCTTTCAACAGTGTCTTATAGAGCTCAAAAAAGTAGCAATGAGAAATTTTTTTTCTCTGTTCAAATGTCATCGGGAAAAAATAACACGAAATCGGTAAATTTCGGGGTTTCTGGCATATCATCGGAAGAAATCGGAATTATTTGCTTTCTTTAATTGCCCATCTTTTTCCTAATTTGACCATCTTCTATAGCCACAGTGTATATGAAATTTTTTGCCTTTCGCACTCCAATTTCGAACGCAGGGCCCACTTTTGGCCACATCAGTACGGAGCACATCGAGCAATAATTGAGGTTTGCCTTTTTCCTACAAAATAGCGATTTTGACACTTTTTGTGCAAAAAATATATATCACATCTTAGGCATTAAACAGCGGAGTTTGGTCTTTTTCACAATAAAATTGTCTATAAATACCAATTTGGTCAAAATGCTGCTCTAGTGTACGTACGTCGGTTACACAAATTATATCGATTGTCTATAAAATTATAGGAGAATGTACTTGTTTACTGGTAAATTTCATCATGGTAAAACTTTTATGTTGCCAGTTTGGAAAATCAAAAAGAACAGAAAACCCCAACTAATGTAGCATATGATTGATGGGTTATGCGACAAGGAACCATTTTGCAAAAAAAAACTTCGATAATTTGACCAGAAATTTCTTTGGGGAAGTGGCGCATTGAACCCAAGAGCCCGAACAAAATTTTGTTTGTTGTTGATTATTTTTAAATATCGGGTCATGGCCAAACAACATCGACAAAATTCAGTTTTTCCATAAAATAAATTGATGGTTTAAATGGTTAAATGATTTTCCAAAAAAATATTTTTTCGAAATAAAGTTACAGATCAAAACAAAAACAAGGTATGTTTGCGCTAATAAAATGTGTTCCAGGTATCGCAATATCACAATTTCATATGCATTACGATTCTTTTATGATGATCCACGTGCTGTTTGTCTGTTTTGCTTTTACTAAACAGTAAACACAATCCAGTGAATGCTAATTAATTAATTCATATTTTTAGATGTGCTAGATTTCTTTTAAAATTTGAATCATTGCATATACCGCTGAACTGTATCAGCAACTTTGTGCACTTTGTTTCTTTATCGAAAATAAACTGCATTTGCATGATATTAATGAATATTATTGTGTACCAAATTAGCAATGAAAAATTTTCTTTCAATAACAAAAACCAAGTTAGCGACTTCATTTCTCAAATGAGAATTAGGCAAATGTAACACCATATTTTTTCATTTGGTTTTTTGAACTTTAATTATATGAAAATTAGGGGAATTAAAAATGACTACCTAGTTACTATAGGGACAGAATGCGACCATGAAACTTATTTTAATTAGGATTTGCTTATCTTAATTAAACATGTAATCTTACAATATTGATACCTTTAGCTTTACGAAAACTTACATCATTGACGTAAATGAAAATTTATAGATAAATAATGAAACGATCTGGGTGAGTGACATGGTGTTCTCTAAATGTGAAATATTGCTGCAACCGTAGAGCAATCGAACATCTGGAGTTATATATTTAATTAGAACACTGAACTATTTTGGGTTT